CCTAATGACCGACTTCCAGTGAAAAATGAGATTGCAGGACGAAAAGCATGATAATCGCCACTTGTACGATCGTAGAAATCTTATCGGTGAATCAGCCGTGCATATGAGGGCGTAGTTTTGGAGATAGAGTTGATTGGGCACGTACAAACTGGGATCGAAATGGGGTTCTATCTAGGGCAGGTGGCATGTTTTTTGTGCTTTTTTTGTTCACAGTCGAGTTACTCAACCCCTTGTCGTCTATATGGAACCCCCTAATCCACCATCTGAGATGGCGAGTAATCGCGGGTTCTTCCTTTAAGGCAACGCCCCGACTGACTTCAGTGATAACGACCGTATAGCTCACGTAGAATGGGAACCCTTGATAGAATAGTTGTCAACCACGAGGCCTTTTTCCTTCCTCCTTCCTTTTTTCCTACCTTTCTTCTCTCTCTACCCCCGTTCTTTTTCATCACCCCTTCAACTGCTGGGACAGAGATGCGATGAGAAAATACCTCTGGACACTCGCAGCGAGAGCATGTCCGGTAGACAAGAGCCCCGTAACCAAACTCTGCCCCCCTCCCTTTACTCCCTGCTTTGAGAATCGAGCACTTTTCTGGTACGTTTAGTTGAAAGGTGTTTGATGGAAAAGTGCATGTTGTGAGGATGAAGTTCACGTGTAGTTGGTGCCCTTTCATTCTAGCATTAGCAGCAATTACTACAGCACAAGGAGAGCTAATCTGCTCTCCAGCGTTAAGGAACTCTTACCAGAACAGCGGTGATGAAAGATCTCTGAGCATCGAATGAAAGTCGAATGAGCCATCGGAAGAGGTTCAGAATGGAAATGAACAGCAGGACGCAAAACCACCACCATAGGAACACAAATATCTTCTCGTTGAACATGTTGATCTGAAAAATCCCAGCTACATGTGTACAATTCGATGAGAAACAACGAGTTGGAAACAGTCAATACCATGAGCACACACTGCAGAGACCATCTGTGCACGGCTCCACCAAGTTCTCGAACTTCTAGATCGCAGAATGTCACCTGAACGGTTCTCATTGTTTAGCAACTCAATAGCACTAACCCATATATGTATCTATCAGAGATCCAGTGATAAGGGGAGCACTGAATTGCAATAAATTTGGGGCACCCACTCGCTCATACAGTCTAGTTCGCTGCTGACAAAGGGGCGTGTCAGAAAGGATGCGTTTGACGCGGTGCCAAACTCGTTCTCCACCGGTTGTTGAAGCGAGCAAGTGACAAGACTATACATCCCTCGTACCACTCGTTCTTTTACCAATGTTTTGCGCATAGCCGCCAACAACTGCCACAGAACGGGTTTGGCGTGTAGTACACTCATACTGCCTGATACGCCCCTTCATCAGCAGCGAAGTAGAGTACATTGAGCACCCCTCGTAGCATCAGCGCCTTCGCCGTTCATTTTCCAGTGGCCAAAAAAGGTGCAAGTTCAGCTTTGGACCGGGACACCCTAAAAAAGAGGGACTCTACTACCAAGCAGCAGCAGAATGCGTCTTTGAAGTAGGAAGTGAGTATCCTCCGAATTTTCCTTCTCATTTACTTGCTGCACGAGTAATCGTCTTATCTGATCTCAATGAAACGAATGCATAGTGAAAAATAAATCATGCAAAGTTTGTACTTTGAGATTCCTTGCTAGTCAAGAAATTTTTTCAAAATCGAAAAATAGGACAAGCCCAACTGAAAGTATTCATACCCTTGGGAAATTGCCGCTTTCCTGCCACTGCCGACCATTCAACGCATCGACGACTACCCGTAGACCGTGTAGAAACCCGGCGCCCAAGAACCATCCAATGAAAAGTAGTTGGCCAATTACTACTGTTATCGAAAGCATTTTTGTGAAGAGCAGGGAAAGCGTGAGTTTGTAGCCCCACGCTCCTGAAAAGCCAAATAGCAATCACTCTGTGGTTGATCAGTTGAAAAAATAAGCGTTGTAGAAGAAGTTGCATGGGCTGCCAATGACAAATTCCCATGAAACTATCGCGATTTCAAGAGAATTCTAAAGAGATTGCAGAACATTCTCTGGTGTGCACAGGTTTCTTATTGAATACGTGCGCTGAAGCTGACCAACCTCTTCGCGTCGGTTTCATGATTGAAGCCACATTTAGAGGGTCTGACATCTTTTTTGCTTCATTACGCAATGCTACCGTAACACTTGGAAGATCGACTTCTGAAAACTCAGTGGTAGATTCTCTTTATTTCAGAAAGAAGGGCCAGAATGTCATTCGATTATGAGCTTACTCGTTAAGAATTGTAGCTGCTTCCAAACCAATCGCGGAAGGTAGAGGAAAAAGGCCTGCAGTAGTAGCACGAAAGGCACCCACTAAAAATCCTATGTTTCTGTGGAGACTATGATTATTTGAGAGATTTTTTCCTTACTACAGTTACAACTGATATCGTAGCAGTCGGTCAGGGCGGTGTCCAAAGGCATGAAATGAGCCCGCTCCCACCGATTTCACTAATTTTTCTTTTTATTCTGAGCTGATCACTAATTTCTTACAAGGAGGTGTTTCAGGTCATGGCGCGCTTTCTGGAAATGGTTCTGTTGCTCGTTGTAGGGGTCCATACAAGGGTCACAAAAATGGTTTTAGAAATGCGCGGGGGGCGCTAACGTCCTCCTTGCGACGGCCCGACTTGACAGACATACAACATAAATCTTTGCATTTCACCTGTAAGGTGAAACAATCAAATATAACATGTAACACGTATCTCTCGTTCCTCACTCTTCCTTGGCGTCTCAGCAGATTTGAGTCGTTCATGGTCTCACAAAGATGTGTTCCATATCAACAGTACTGCTCACGTATGCGCCAACCCGCTAATCCACAGCCGATGTAGTCGGTCGTGGCAAAAATAAGGACGTTTTTTGGGCACCCGCTGCATGTTCCACTGATCATAATTCATTGGAATAGCAACATAAGTAACTTAATATGTCCTCGGGATACATTTTTACAAGGTGTGTCAGAACTCTCGTCCGGGTTGAAACTAAGTCGCCGGCGCGAAGGGTAAACGCGCGCGGTCGATTACATGCTTTAACATGTTTCATGTTTGAACATTATCACGCTGTTTCGGACATGTCTTGGCAGATGGAAGAATGATGGGGAGGGGGGGGAAAAAGAGAAGTCGCTACAGTAGAAAAGGCGAATAGGATGGGTCGTATTTTGGATGGAACTTGCAAATGCCAAGTCAGACTCACCGCCGGACGCACACGGATCGGTCGCCGAGCGGGGTGACCTAGTTTCAAGAGCGCGGCGGTGATCAGCTGCCAGTCTCCCCCAATTTTTCAGAGTATCGAAAAATTTTTTCGCCGTTCTTGCCACCATTTCTTTCCTATCGATTTTTGGGGTTGCAATGAAGAGCTGGTCAAACGGCGAAATCGACTATCATGCATGAGTACAAAACTCGGCGATAATGCTGCGCGGAGCAGCAGGAATATCACAACTGCATGACGAGCATCTACAAATGAGTGCACCACGCGTGTGGTGCGACAAATTTCGAAATGGGCTTGAACCATGGAAGAATCAGGAGGAGACGCGGTCGGCATCGGAAAATAAGACGACGGAATTGAAGGCTGACGGATAAAGCAACCCAAGAGCATACGTCACTAACAGGGAAATTGCTGAAGTTGCTGGGTGTAAATGAGGACGAAGTATGACTTCAGAACTGTAGCACGGGCATTCTGAAGAAAACTGCGTAAGGTAAGAGAACAAAACGACACTGTATTTCCCGCAGGAGTTGACGAGTCACCGCCGCAATCATCGTACGTGCTGTAAGTCGGTTCGTCTCATCTTTTTGAAGCAAGATACGAACTATTTCTGCGACGCATTGTGACGCGTGACGAAAAATGGAATTCATATTATCATAACAACAGACGACGGTCAGGACAGTGATGGGTATGACGACGCTCCTGAACATTTTCCAAAGCCGGAGTTGCACCAAAAAGGTCATGGTGACTGTTTGGTGGTTGACAGAAGACGCGCTTGATCACCACAGCTTCCGGGCTCTATGAGAAAAACGTATCACGCGCGGAGAAGTACTTCGTGAGGACATCCGAAAAAATTTTGTTTGTTTGTGCCGGCAAACAATTGCATCGTATTCAGTCCGGCATAATCGACAGTATAAGGGCGCGGATCCTTACTCCAGGACTGTTACTGTCCCGACCACATCGTTTCATGATGAAATTAAAAAACTGATGGAGGTATGGGTGTGAGAACGTGCTCATCGCGGGATCCGGCGCTCTAGATCGTCAACTTTCCTCTACGTATATATCTCTCTTTTCAAGATTATGCGAATTTCCTTTAACTGACGAGAAATGCTTTTGAAACCAAGCGACGTAGAAGAGGCATTCAGCGATTTCGTCGATTCCAGAACTCCAATTTTGTGCTGCCTCAATATCAAAATTGCCTTCTCGTTGGCCAGGCAAGTGTGGGTCTTTTGGTCGGTATTTTGATTGAGAAAAGCAATCGCTTTGAAGCGAATTATGTATTTTAAAATATTTGCTTCAAAATGGTCATTATTTTCGCCACGATCTAATATTGAAGAGTCTCATGCAGATCAGATGTAAGAAGATTCTTGCAGTACCCGCAAAAAAACTTATCAATAAAGGAAATTCTCTGGTCCGGGGAAGCTTACAAATCCTAACCGCGCACCTTGCTCTGGCGCCAGCATGTGATCGGTGGCATCCAACATCATCATCGAGCGAACACAAGAAGGCCGTTCCACAGAGAATGCGCACCCGAGTATTAAGACGCTATTCAATTATAAGTGAATCCTTTGCTGGACTTTATGATATGAGATCGTAAAATTCAATTGCTCAATGCCCAAGGAATTTAGAGTGACTCGTTTGTGAGGAGCCAATAGCAGAGCGACGTCAGAAAACACCTTCGATATGACCCCTTCATCCTCAAACGTACGGGTGAAATGCCAAAATAACCGTTAGTTGGGACGACGTCCCAGATAGCTGACCCTTTGTAATGAACCAATGACCCACAAGAGAACAATAACCACGTCATTTGCATTCAGCTTGCCCGGAACTGGCATTGGCTTGGAGGCGGGCGCTTGGAGGTGGGTTTGGAGGAGGAGTCATGGAAAAAGAGGGTAATTACTGGAGCAAAACTTTTGGCAAGCAATATAACCTCTACACCTTCCAACTTTGTGGCCAGTAAAAGTGGCAGCAAGATTATCCCACTTGCGGATACAATACATCGGCTATGGATACGATAAACAGCAACCGCCCGATAAGCTGGAGATGCGGGTTCTAGCCCCCTCCGAGGGGTGACTTCTGCTCATATCTCAGTGTTCATGTGATAACTTGAGAAGAGCGTTTTTACGATCACCACCGAATACGCCTCTAAGTAATAAAACTACAAATTACAGGTCTGTGAACGAAAACTGTGCAAGATTTTTAAGTGGCAGCTTATTGTTTAGTAGTTTTTGAAGGGTCTGATGAAAAGGGGGGTAGCCGTGCGGTTGACGGAATGGGAAAAGGCCAAGCATTCAGAAAGATGGGAGCACGTCCTGCCGTGAGATAAATTTTCTGCAAAATGCGAACCTCTCTATACAGTTCCCCTCTGTTTCGACCATCTTTAATCTACCTACCAGATTCCTGAATAAGTTCTTCCCATCACTTTTCCGGAGTTTTTTTCCTCAAAAATTCCTTCACTTTAGCCCTGAAGAACTGCCATTGGGGGTGAGAGGGGAGGGTGTACAGCGCATTTGGAACCGAGAAAGTTCAACATCCGAAAATATTTTTCTCACAGAGGCAAGTGTCAGAGGCAATTACCTTTCTCGCTAAGGATCCCCAAGGTAGGGTGTGCCCTGGTGGGATGCAAAAACGATCAACACTGTGAGTGTAAACAAGACTCGAATTTACAAAAAATCGTTGAAGAGCGGTTCTAATGAACCATACGTAAGGAAGAAAACTAGTTCTTACCGATCAGATGCGTCGACGTCGTAGGTAGGTCGAAGCCGTGGCGATGGCATAGTAGGCTGCTCGAGAAAAGAATGACATCCTGAGAAGCTTTAAATCTACTCTCAACAACTACTGCAGTAAAAGCTCACTAAGGAAATTCATGGAGAATCGCCACTACGGTTATCGACAAACACCATTAGAAAAACTATTTATTCAAAGAATCCGTGAGCAGTGTGAGGTAGTCGAGTTTTAGCTGTCATGAATCGCACTGGGGGCGCCTGTAAAGAACAAGATCGAAAGACTTCGTACCAAAAATCACAGGACTATCTGAAGGCATAAAGCTGATCATCAATTGTTGGTAGACATGATGAAATAGAAATTCAGAGGTTGAAAAACTGTTCTTAACCTAGGAGTTGGACTAGAGAAATCTGTGAAGCCTCTTGAAAGCTGAGTTACTCTAAAGGGTTTTTGATGAGTAAATTGACAAAAAAAAAGTAAAAAAAATTGCTCTTACGTTGAATTAGAGGGTAGATCTCAACGGATTATTAAGGAATGTTAGGAGAGCTCAGTTGCTCTCGGCAAACAAGTTACAGATAGGTTAGGTAAGCCAAAACAAGTACTTGGATAGTTTTCCCTCCAAAGCTGATCGTTCAAATGTAGCGCTTCGTCTTCGGCTATGGTAGAGAGCGTTTTGTCATCTGAATGGGCCTATCTACGTTGTTTTTAGCATGTTAGAAGTTTTGCTTTTATGTGGTTCATCTTTGCTTGATATCATGTCTTCAGGAAGAACTTCAGACACTTTAATTGCTCAAAAAGGCAATCTCACCACTCTGTGGGAATTTCGACATCCAAAGCTGGTGAGCAAGTTCTCCGGACTGTAGGCGACCACCGTTAGCGTCAAGCAGCCACAGCACCAACAATCCGTCGTTCTGCACCACTTCGCGGAAGAACTCCTCTCGCTCGACTTCCGTGGTGTCAAGTCCACTGTCCGTCTAAAAAGGCGGTCTTTGTTCCCTAGATGTGGAGAGTTTCGAACAAAGACTTTACCAAAACGTTATAGAGGAAGGTTTCCCGAGCTGCTTTGCTGTATCGTCGACGAGAATCCAAACGGCAAAGATTGAATGAAGTGCAGAAGAGTAACATGGCGAACCAGAACCACAGGAAAATGAATATCTTTTCATTAAACATGTTCACCTATAAATTTCGTGTTACTGGAATGACGAAAACAAGTTTGAAGTAAAGGAGAGTAATAAGCCGTGGCTCTAAAATGCCCCGTGAGTCCGAATTTCGTCCAAAATTAGGGTGGGCATTTGTGGCTGTCGCTCTGGAGACCCACCGAGAGAAGGTCGCAGCGGAAGAGTAGCTCACACAGTACACATATTTCCTCACTGGGTCGTTAGGGCCTATCTTCGATATGAATAGAAAGACTGCTGTTAAGCGACGTTCATACTTTGCGACAGCAGCGGCGAATCGACGGCGATGGCGGTATGGACGCGGACAGAGGGCGTCCTAGCGCTATTACTTGGACCGCTCCGAGTGCTTTTAGGGAGAATGGCTCAAGTTCGTTGCTTTTTTCCTTCTAAATGCGATTGTCTTAGCTACTAAAGCTTGGACTTGACTCAAGGAAAGGTGGATCCAACTTAGTGGCTTTTCTTTTCTATTTCTGTTTTTTTTTGATTTAAGATGAAAATGAGCGAGAAGCGTGATAGTTTCACTTAGAGTTTCTTATTGTTTCTTTTTTTCATTATTCGAGCTTATAAATGAAGCTGTGTATAAATGAAATTGTGAAGCTCGTTCTTCCTTGATATTGCATAAAAGAAATAATGTGAAGCTCGTTTTTCCCTCGATATTGCATAAAAGAATTGCGGTTTCAATTCATAGGTTGGTTTCTTTCTGATTCTTTTTTTTTCGTTGTTTGAACACGACCTATAAACTGTAAAAGTTTCGAAGTTGCAACAGTTAGCGCATTTGAACTTTTAAAGACATTTTACATGACCTGAAGCTATAAAACAAAAGAAACAAAAAGAAGCTCACCTAAGAATGAAGCTGCCTTTATCCGACTTCAAAAAAAGGTGAAACTCCCTCGCTCATATTCCAGATCCTCTTAGGTACAAAGTTCTCAGTTAGTAGAAATTATTGCGAGAAAAAGGTCTTACAAGTTGGATTTGTTTACTTATCAAAGCGCGGTCCAAGTAATAGCGTTAGGGCGCGCTCTGTTGCGTACCGACGATCGCGGCGATCGCCGCGATTGCCGCTGCTGTCGCGAAGTATGAAGGCTGCCTAAGGTGTTACTCAGCCGTTCAATGACTTGCATTTCGACAATACCGTATAACATTTTTAAAGTCTCATTTTGTGAGAGTTCCGACATTTATGGGCTTCACAGTTGAAAAGTTGCTTGGTCTAGAAGTTCTCGATGAATTGCAGCCATTTAAAAAATGATTGAGGATTGAGACATTCAAGGAACACAGTAATTTTATAAGAAATTCTTGTCCTTCCCACGGCGAGATATACCTCTTGCGGGTTCATGGTGAGTCTACCTACCTGGAGACTTGCTCGACTCCCCCGACACAGTGCAGCACTCCCACGTTGAATAAACTGAATGCCAGTGCAAATGCCGCGCACGTTGCAACATTACGAGGTTCTTTTCGCCGCATCGCCGCAACATGGACCTCCCAACCAGTTCAAAGCCTTCATGTTATGATCCACACAAAGAGCAATGGAAGTCAAAGAGCATTTACCACGCGCTCTTGTCAACTTGAAGCAAAAAAGAGGCAAGTCACATCCACTAGAATCCTTTTCCATATCCACTCAATCACTTTTTGTAACAAATTATTTCCGATCCCTAGCTGTGAACGATTTCGATGTTTTTACTGAAGACTTATCACCCCTAGAACAAGAGTAATTAGCCTGAGCGCTTTCACGATGGGTGAGTCACCAGCTTCATATTATTTGTAAGGGAGGTATTTATTTGTAAAGGAACAAGTCATGGTAGAGGTAAATTAGTTCCACTTACCATCAGCACACATTGAACGGTCCAGTTATTTACATTACCCATTTCGCGGACCGTTAAATCACAGAATGCTACCTGTAAAAGGAATTTTATTCTGGACAATTAGTTGCACCGTCAACAGCACTAATCAACTGTCATTAATAAAACACAATACTCACAATAATGTTCAAAAAATAAATATGCGAGGAAAAGGATCCATGGGAGAAAGGAACCTGCACAACTTACTCCAACAATGACACGAAGGCTAGGATGGAACGAACCATCCTTGCTTGTAGTGCTTTTTCAATTTTTATTAATTCATTTCTCTTCAAGGTATAACGGAAGAATGGCGCTACCTATAAAAACTCTATCCCGATAAACGATCTCTGCTGTTGGGAGATCCCAACGATGTCGTGCCCTACAGAACCCTATTCAGTGTATTGGGATCCGATCCCAGTTCACTAAATAGGGGCCATAGTAGTACGCATGAACAGGAAAAACCACGAAAACCCAGCTGCCTTTCCCAGGTCGAGAGCCAAATACGATCCCACTTCCTCCCAGCAACGAGCAATTACGACC